CAGATTGCCATCATGCATAACAAGGCGTCAGGATTTGACATTGTGGAAAGAAGACTTTATAATTTTCAAAAAGCATAGTGCTTAAAAGTGATTTGTAAGGCATTCTGAGGGCTACCTTTCCATTTTACATGTAGCCAACATATACAACTCCAGCTACATGTGTAAAAATACTCCTATAATTCCATCTCTCCACCCCAGCAGCAACAGGACCTGATGATGTGACCTCTTGATTCCCAGGGAGACTGTACAGGTGAAAACATTACTGCCTCTGGGGAGCCATTTTGCCTGTCAGAATCCAATAGCTTATTATCTCAATAATAAAAACAAACAGAATGGGGTCAACCTTCTGACTATTTTGCCATGGCATCCAGCAAGAGTGTGAATTCTGAACTTGACCAGTTTCTCTCTTATCACTAGTTAGATGTGGGATGTGTGTGTCAGTTCAATTGATTCCTCCTAGTGCGTGGTTTCCTGTGCCAAAGCTGGTGCAGCTACATTTGAATGTGCAGGGTAAATCACTACTTTAACAAGTGGCTGCTATTCCCTTCATCCTGCATCTGTATAAAGGTAAAATTCTTGCAAATGGCTCAGTTGACACAAATGTTTTCCCTTCACCATCAAAGAGAGAGACCATCTTCACCAAGCTTGGAAATATCATGTAGAAATATATATCTCAATGTTTTAAATATATATGTTATCAGTTTGCTCCAAGTCTAAAATGAACCAACAGATTTGTTCTGAGCATTTGTTTGTTACAACAGCTTTTCTTCATGCTGTGCCATCTCCAGTATGTGTCAGACTACAAATCATATTGGTCCCACCCAACATGTTAGGACCCATTCCACAACAGAGGATTCAGGATGTACCAAAGCAAAACGGTGAACTGTAATACAATGTATTGGCTACAATGTAAAGCAGTGAGTACACAGCTTGTATAACAGTGTAAATGTGCTGTCCCCTGAAAATAACACAACACACAGCCATTAATGTCTAAACTGCTGGCAACAAAAGTGAGTACACCCCTAAGTGACAGTGTCCAAATTGGGCACAAAATATCAATACTTTTGTGTGGCCACCATTATTTTCCAGCACTTCCTTAACCCTCTTGGGCATAGAGTTCAACAGAGCTTCTCAGGTTGCCACTGGAGTCCTCCTCCATTCCTCCATGACGACATCACAGAGCTGGTGGATGTTAGAGACCTTGCGCACCTCCGCCTTCTGTTTCAGGATGTCGCACAGATGCTCAATAGGGTTTAGGTCTGGAAACATGCTTGGCCAGTCCATCACCTTTACCCTCAGCTTCTTTAGCAAGGCAGTGGTCATTTTGGAGGTGTGTTTGGGGTCGTTATGTTGGAATACTGCCCTGTGACCCAGTCTCCAAAGGGAGGGGATCATGCTCTGCTTCAATATGTCACAGTACATGTTGTCATTCATGGTTTCCTCATTGAACTGTAGCTCCCCAGTGCTGGCAGCACTCATGCAGCCCCAGACCATGACACTCTCACCACCATGCTTGACTGTAGGCACGATACACTTGTCTTTGTACTCCTCACCTGGTTGCCCCTACACACGCTTGACACCATCTGAACCAAAGAAGTTTATCTTGGTCTCATCAGACAACAGGACATGGTTCCAGAAATCCATGTCCTTCGTCTGCTTGTCTGCAGCAAACTGTATGTGGGCTTTCTTGTGCACAATCCTGGAGACTAATTTGATGCAGTGTGCGGCATATGATCTTGACCGCCCCCCACTCTTTCAACCTGTGTAGCAATGCTGGCAGCACCCATACATCTATTTCCTAAAGCCATCCTCCGGATATGACGCTGAGCACAGGCACTCAGCTTCTTCAGTCAAGCATGGTGGGCCTGCTCTGAGTGGAACCTGTCCTGTTAAACCACTATGGTCTTGGTCACTGGGCTGCAGCTGGCATATGATCTTGACCGCCCCCCACTCTTTCAACCTGTGTAGCAATGCTGGCAGCACCCATACATCTATTTCCTAAAGCCATCCTCCGGATATGACGCTGAGCACAGGCACTCAGCTTCTTCAGTCAAGCATGGTGGGCCTGCTCTGAGTGGAACCTGTCCTGTTAAACCACTATGGTCTTGGTCACTGGGCTGCAGCTGAGTTTCAGGGATTTAGTTAAATGCGTTCTGTGTGAACCAAACTAGTGTATGTATGATTGAGACTAAGCCACGTTACTGTATCTTATTCATTTGATCATTTTATTTTCCCTGTGTGTTATGTAAATAAACCTTGTTCTTTTATTTGTTAAAAATCCATCCCTGGTCTGTGTGACTTCTTATAGGGAATGGTTGGTGGCAGCTTAGTGAGACTGTGGCATCCTCCAGTAGGTCTGGGGTTTGTCACAGTACTCACTTTTGTTGACAGCGGTTTAGACATTAATGGCTGTGTGTTGCATTATTTTGAGGGGACAGCACATTTACACTGTTATACAAGCTGTATACTTACTGTTTTACATTGTAGCCAATACATTGTATTATAACTGCGTGAAAGTGTATCTGTGATATGTGCAGTGGAGCAAATCAACATTCTACAAGGCAATTCTAAAATGAGGACAGCCCAAACAAAAATTTATGACATTGAAATTGGGCTTCAGATCAACAACAAATTTGGCATAGTTGTAGCAAACAGTATTCTCTTGTTCTGGGCCAATTTGGGGAAGTTAAGATAAATGGAAGTTTAGACTGAGTTATGACTTTTCTTAAAAAATAAAACTATTTTATCGTTCCCTTCAGAAACAGGTGCTTTAAAAACAATCCCACATTTAAAATAGATCACATAAATTGAAAATAGCAATCTTACTTATCTTGAAAGAAAGTTTATTGGCCACAGCTGCTTCTTTTTAATTTGGAAAGAATTCAGGCTGCAGTGGTTGAAATATTGATCCTCAAAAAAGGCCTTCCAATGGGAAAAACTTTGTTGTAACACTGAGCATGCATTGCACAGACTTACCAGCAAGAGCTTTGTGAAATGATACGCTGTATAGATTTGTGGGCAGGGATGAAGGGAGATATTTGGAGAGCTGCAGAACAACTAAAGATCACAGAAACAAAGTTAAAAGACAAGTATTCTTTAAAAATAACAATAAAAACCCAAAGCCACCAGATTTTGCTTTAAGGTGAGTAGTGGGGTGACACTCCTCTAGAAGGGAGGACATTTTGCCATGTATCTTCAGAAAATTAGCAGTTTTTAAAGGCATATTTAAAGTATTTTCCCTTACCGTGGAAAAACAGATAGCAGTTGTGTTTTGTATTAGCACTTTCAGTTAACATCCTCTCAGGATTTCTAAGACCAAACACTCTCCTCACGTACATTTTCAAAAAGGAAATCTGAGGCAAACTGAACTTTTGACTGTTAATCAGCACCCAGTTAGCTGACTCTTAGCTAACTTTTTAACTCCTTCCTGGCCAAACAGGCTTGTGGGATTCATGCTTACATAAAGGGATTCTGTGTCTGTTTGCAAAAATGCAGACAAAACGGAGTATTAAAACATTACAAAAACATTACAAAAA